TTTTTTTTTTTTTTTTAAATAATGAATTACTTGAGAGCTTCATGGATCATATGTATTTTTATTATCCGTGGTGTCTGGCACACTGTGTACACTCCCTGATATGTAGGTCATGCTTAAAAGATGTTTGAATGTAAACAGACCCTATCTACTCTGTGTAGCAGAAGAAAACAACTAGCCTGCTGTTCTAGAAGAGCATATAAAAACAGCATTGAGTAATAAATGTCTAAAGAAATAAGAAGCACCGTAATTCGGGTACCCATGGTTGAGACAGTCTGCAGGAGTTTAAAAGTAATTCAATGTATTAAAGTCAGTTTTCTGAAGGACATTTAAGCTGTCTAATGAAAGTGGTTAATGCTTACATAGTACTTCCTTTTTTTCTTTTTTTTTTTTTATGGAGACAGTCTCGCTCTGTCACACAAGTTGGAGTACAATGGCACAGTCATGACTCACTGCAGCCTCCACCTCCCAGGTTCAAGCGATTCTTGTGCCTCAGCCTCCTAAGTAGCTAGGACTATAGGTGCGTGCACCACACCAGCACACCAGGCTAACTTTTTGTATTTTTATTAGACACAATGTTTCCCTATGTTGGCCAGGCTGGTTTTCAAATTTCTGACCTCAAGTGATCCTCCCGCCTCTGCTTCCATAAGTGCTAGGATTACAGGCATGAGCCACTGCACCTGGCCATTTACATAGTATTGTCTATGTTCAGAATCTGTTTTAAGCATTTTTTGTACATTTACTCATTAGATCTTCATACCTACCCTAGAAGATAGGCATTATATGTTATAGTTGAGGAAAACTGAAGCATGGAGAAGTTAAGGGATTTGCCCAAGAGTATATAAAACCCAACCGTTCTTTTGTAAGCAAGTATTCAGAAGGTGCTATTAAACGATGTTTTTTACCTTTGTAAAAAAAAAAAAAAAAAAAAACCCTAAGAGTTTAATCATATAAATTGATTAAGCAAAACAATTCATTTTTTGAGAATTTAAATTTGAAAATATTCCATGGCAGTATTTTATTGTGAAATATGTCTGACTACCTATTATTTTAACCTAAATCTTAAGCGTAGGAAAGAGTTTAAATTTAATGATCTTGAGGCTGTTAATAATATTTTTTATTTTTCCCCCTTGAAATGGAGTCTTTCTCTGTCTCCTGATCTTGGCTCACTACAACCTCCACTTCCTGGGTTCAAGTGATTCTCCTGCCATAGCCTCCTGAGTAGCTGGGACTGGGATTACAGGCATGTGCCACCATGCCCGGCTAATTTTTGTTTTTTTAGTAGAGATGGGGTTTCACCATGTTGGCCAGGCTGGCCTCAAATGACCTCAGGTGATCCACCCACCTCAGCCTCCCAAAGTGCTGGGATTACAGGTGTGAGCCACTGCATCCAGCCTAGTAATGTTTTATGTTATGTAGATTTTATCTTAAAATTGATATTTGCTAACTGAATTATGTACATACAGTATATATCCTAAATAGAAAAGAAAGGCTTTATGTAAAATAATTTTTTCAAAGTTGCATATCAATATTTTTACTAATTTCTGAAGTAACGTTTTTTATCTTCAGATACAGGTGTCCCCATTTTTACAACAGATGTTCATGCCCCTGCTACATGCAATTTTTGAAGTGCTACTCCGGCCAGCGGAAGAAAATGACCAGTCTGCTGCTTTAGAGAAGCAGATGTTGCGGAGGAGTTACTTTGCTTTCCTGCAAACAGTCACTGGCAGTGGGATGAGCGAAGTTATAGCAAATCAAGGTGGGGACGCATGCTGTATCTAATTTTTCTGCTTAAGTCTGTGTCGTTGTACATCTATATGAGCAAGAGCAAACTGAAGTAAATGTAGAACTTTTCAAGTTTGTCAGCTCATGGAAAGACAGTTCATTGTTTTCAGGCTGGAAATTATTCACTTTTATGTAAAGCACCTTAAAATTAATTTGTATTCTGTTTTTTTCTTTATGCAGCATTTTTTAATTTGGTTCTTCAGCAATATAAATAACATGGCTGTTTGCCAGAATTGACCTGACAATTGTGTCTTTATGGCAAATTAGCCATTTTGAAATATAAAATAAATGGAACTGTGTAGATTAGTGTACAGAATTCTACTGAATAGGAAATTTAGGGAACAAAATATAAGGGGCAATTTGATTTTTCAGCATTTTATTTTATTTGTAAGATAGGGTCTCTATTGCCCAGGCTGGAGTGCACTGGTGTGATCATGACTCACTGCAACCTTGACCTCCTGGCCTATCCTCCCATCTCTGACTCCTGAGTAGCCAGGACCACTGGTGCTTGCCACAATGCTGGGCTAATTTTATTTTTTGTAGAGACCGGATCTCACCATGTTGCCCAGGCTGGTATCAAACTCCTGGGCTAAAGCTATCTGCCCACCTCGGCCTTGCGAAGTGCTGGAATTACAGATGGGAGCCACCGTGCCAAGCTGAGTTTTCAGTGTTTGTTTGTTTGTTTATGTATTTAATAAAGACGGTGTTTCACCATCTCGGTCAGGCTGGTCTTGAACTCCCGACCTCAGGTGATCCGCCCACGTTGGCCTCCAAAGTGCTTGGATTACAGGCGGGAGCCACCACGCCCAGCGGAATTTTCAGTGTTTTATACATAGGTGCCCAGTTAATAAAAATCAAGGAATTTTGCAACTCTGTAAATGCTTTTTTCCCTCTTGAATCTTCCTGTCCCACCTGTAAATGAGTTTATTTGTTAATGTATATGAAAAAAGAACTTAAGGTTGCTTTCCTAGTTATTTTTGGAAATTAAAGTAAGGTTTATCTCCTCAGGTGCAGAGAATGTAGAAAGAGTACTTGTTACTGTTATTCAAGGAGCAGTTGAATATCCAGATCCAATTGCACAGAAAACATGTTTTATCATCCTCTCAAAGCTGGTAGAGCTCTGGGGTAAGATAATTTTATTTTTTAACCTTCATTTTCCACACTCTTTCATAAACCTTTTTTTTTTTTTTTTTTTGAGACAGAGTTTCGCTCTTGTTGCACAGGCTGGAGTGCAATGGTGCGATCTCGGCTCACTGCAACCTCCGCCTCCTGGGTTCAGGCAATTCTCCTGCCTCAGCCTCCTGAGTAGCTGGGAT